GAGAGAGAGAGAGAGAGAGAGAGAGAGAGAGAGAGAGAGAGAGAGAGGGGCAGAGGCAGGAATGTAACTAAATCTAAACAAAGAAATAAACCTAAACAAAGGTGTCACTGGGCAGAATCCAGAAGAGGCTTCAGAGATCTAACCATCACACAAGCTGGTAAGTAAGGCCAGCTTCAAGCTCTTCCTGCAGTGCCCATTTTACCTGCTTATACTGGGTGTCTAAACAGGTGAAGGGCTCTGTGAATAGGTGGCCCCTGAGGGAAGCATACACAGCCTCCTTGGACCATGAAGGCCTTCCTGTCAGCCCTCCTCTGCTTGCTCAGAGGAGACAGATGGGGTTCAAGGTCAGGGAAGTGTCCCAGGGAGGGAGCTCTCCAGATGAGCGGTAGGTCCCACACCCCATCCACACCCAGGGAGGATAGACTCACCACTCAGGGGGGACGTGCTGTTCTCCAGAGCCTGGCACACAGTTAACAGGATACCTGTGGGGGAAGCAGAGAGGATGGTAAGTCTCCTCAGAAATGGACTTCCTTATGAAGGGGCCAATAGTTGTGTCTGACTACCATCTTTGAGAGGCAAAGGAAAGCAGAGGCCCTTGTGCCAAGACCAGGGGAGCTATGCTCATGGAAGGGAGCAGAGGGAACTGTCCATGTCTTCCTCTGCCTGTAGTCTCTCTCCACAAGTCGTGGAGTTTTCCCTTCGCTGGATATGCTGTTGCTGTCTTTTGCGTGTGAGGGTATGGGCTAGGCACAGCACCCCCATACTTACACAGGGGCCCCTGTACAGTAGTTAGACTTCCCTCTAGTTGAAGCAATGTGCTGAGACATAGCTGGGGTCTAGTACGGCGTCTTTGCTTCCCTGAGACTGACTGTCCCTAGCCAAGGAGGATGGGGACCGCAGAGAATTTCAACATCACAAACAGACATATGAGGAGCTTGGCTGAGGACAGATGGTGAGAATTGTCACCACACTCTTTCCTGAGGGGTCATGGAGTGTGTTCAGGCATCTCCAGGCCCCATTAGGTGCAGAGCATGGTAGGAACAATGACCCATGAGTGGAAGCCATGTGATGGCACTAGGCTTCTAAGGCTCCTGTTGGCTTCCCTCATGAGACAGACTCTAATCTAGTCATGAGGACTCCAAGACAGCACAGTGTCAAACCCACACACAGAGCCTCTCCATGACCCATAAAGCCACCTCTGCCAACAAGCAACCCATGTGTGTCCTCATATTACCGTGGTGGAAGTTTCTGGAAACAGAGCAGTAAGTTCTCATAAAAAGGAAGCTCTCATGAGTCTTGAAGGCAGAGATATGCCTCAGGCAGCCCTGCAGAGGAGTCTGGGCCTCATTCAGACCATTCTAGAAGGCAGATTCCCTAAGCCACTGCAGAAATCAAGATAGGTATTGTCTACCCCTCTACTGCGTGACCTCTGAGGGTGCAACAGTGGGCTCCTGTTTCTCAGAGGAAGCGTTTTCCTTCCTACAGCCCACATGTTCATAGGATTCCCCAGACACATTTCAAAGGGACATCTGCCACTCATATACCCAGTGTTCTGTTCCTGCCAGAGCCAGAAAAAGTTGGGGGTTGCTCCTTCTGAGCTGTGGAACAGTCACGCCCTGACACTGTGGGCTGGAGTCAGCCAGTGACCCATAATCAGTCAAAGCTGACATGGAGGTGCCTGGCATACCTCAGGACAGGGAGTATGACCAGCCTGTCAGCAACTGTCCCCAAACCACTGAGGGATCCTGAAGCCACCTCCCTGCCTGAACACAATCTGTCAGGGCACATTGCACAAACCCAGCACCAAGTCTGGCCCTGCAGCTTCTGGAGCAAAGACAGGAGATTGCGTGCGTGCTGGGCCAGTCCCTTGCCTGGCTCAGAACTCCTTCATCCCTCTGCCTCTTTCTCACCTGTCAGCTGCCAATTGCCAAACTCATGGAGGCATTTCAGGAATTAATTAATGGCCACAGAAAACACATGTTCCTCCGAGGAACAAACAACACTTTGCTTTTATTTATGATTCTAGAAAGGTGACAATAACAGCTTCCTTCTCAGTTCCCATGATGCCCTAGTTCCACTCTAGCTTCTATGGGCCTTGGCCCAGGCAGAATGAGATCCAGCCTCTCTTCTCAGGTGGGGTTCCTCCATTCTGCAACCTGCATAGGTTCCTGCACTCTTGCCTTGTCTGTCCATGACCCTGTAGGTTCTTCCCAGCGCCCCTGTCCTTGGGGATGCCCAGGCAACAGAGGCTTGGAAACTTTCAGAAATCTGCCCAAGCTCCTATGCTAAGTTGAGACTTGAGTCTGCCCACTTGCAATGTACAAGACACTGTTAAGTAACTGTGCCCTGGCTGGTCTGACATATCAACAGGTGTGTTTCTACCCAGTATGACCATCCTGGCTGAACCCACAGATCTAGAGGTCTTCCAGAGGCTCCAACCTCACCTCTTAGATTTTTCTCCTTGTCCTCAGTTTCCCTATAAGCCAGGCATGAAGGCTGCTCCATCCGTATGTGCTGGGGATCCAGCAGCCCCTGCATGTGGCCTGGTGTCTGAAGGCCTTCTAGGAACATGTGGCCTTGGCAGACACAAGGATCTGAGAAGCCAAGGGGCCACCACAGAGCTGGCTGTCACCACCAGAGCTCAGAAAGATACAGTCTAGGCTTAGACTCAGCAGCAGGAAGGAGCCATTAGTCCCTCTAGGCTGAGTGTCAAAGCCACCTGGCACTGATCCTGAGGTTGGGAAGGCAGGCTGTAGGGCCACCCAGCCAGCTCTCCTCCCTTGAGGACAAGCATCCTTTCAAGGCAGTCCTGCCAGGGTCTCATTCTCATGTCTGTCTAAGTAGCTACAAAGTGGGGAAATCCCAACTGCAGACTTCAAAAAGGAAAGGAGGCCAGCGAGTAGTGTTGACAGAAAAGCCACACACAACAGAAGTGCATCTTTAGGGAAGCCTGGTCTCTGCTCCCAACATGCACTGGGACCCAGGCCTCAAGGCAAGGTGAACTCAACACACTTGTAATACTGTTGTTTGCCACTCCGAAACTATTGATAGAAACAAGGCTAACCCATGCCTTGTGGGGTTGCAGAAGTGGAGCCACCCACAAGCCTATCCATGATGGACTTGTAGGAAACGCCATTTTGAGAGGCTGGGCACTCCTGTTCCCCTGGGTCCTAGAGCAGGGGCATCTACACTTCAGCCCCACACCTGACTGAGATTGACAGATCTGGACAGGGACCCAAGCTGTTCCTTCAGCCTAGGACAGGACCCTCTATCCTCACTGCCCATCATTTGGCAATCACCTCTTCTGGGGATACTCAGCTGTAGTCCCCAGTCCTGAGAGGGGCGTCTTCAGGCTCCTGGCTGCCCCAGCAGAGGTGAATGTGTCTACCCTAGCCTCTACTGTAGCCTGTGTTTGCTCCTAGGCTGAATGGCTCAGTGGGAGCCTAGCAAGAGCTCCTAGCAAGTTGCTCCTGTGTTTGGACCTCTATGCTTGGCTTCAGAGGGAAGGGCAAGGTTGGGCGAGGTTCTAGGGTCAAAGAAAAATGGGTAGGTGGATCATGATCCAAGCAGGCACCTTTGAGTGCAGATGCTCTCAGTTCAAGAATAGCATAGGGTTGGGGTGGGCAGGAGCTAGGCTAGAGTAGAACAGAAGGATCTGTGAACACCTGGGGGAGGGGTTGCTGGTCTGTTTTTCTTCCTCTCTATCTCATTTGAGGAACAGAGGAGGAGGCACAGGAGATGTGAATAGCCGCCCTGTGGGGCTCTGTAGCTTAGCACAAGGTCACTCAGGCTCCCAGGGGTATAAGAATTCTTGTGAATGGGTGACCCAGATCCTAGGCCCTGCCAACAGAGTCCAGTAAGCATCTTGTCTTACAAATTCCTGAGTGGAGAAGAGCCTCCCTGTCTCTCCTGGGAAGAGGTGTCAGTTTGCATGTGGCCCTGCACCCAGAGGTGCTGTGCACCAGCTCCTTGAGGAAGTCAGGCAAAGCTGCAGAGGAGCCTTAGGGGAACTGGCCAAACAGGACAGAGAGAACTCTGGGGACAGCGAGGCAAGGTGTTTGGAAAGACAAGAGACCCAAGAATGAGTCACTTGAACAGATGGCCTCATGGGACAGAGGGCTCTTTCCATAACCGCCCTATCTTCAGAACAGTCCTCCAAATCACAGGAGGGACCTTGACATCCAGGAAGAGAATTTGGTGGGGAATTTACTGGCAAAGGCCAGTGCTGTGTCAGGAGGTGGGTCCTGATACAGCGTGGAACTGGAGTTATGGACAGTTGTGAGCTGCCATGTGGGTCTTAGGAATGGAATCTGGGTCCTCTGGAAGAGCAACTAAGTGCTCTTAACCGCTGAGTCATCTTTCCAGCCCCTTGTTAGTTTGTAGGGACAGTGGACATTTGCCTGGCCTGGAACTCTGGGAGCCCCAGGAATCTGCCTGTCTCTGCCTCTCTATGCTGGGATTTCAAATGCATGTCATTGGAGCTGGCTTTTTCCCATGGGTTCTGGGGATCGAACTCAGCTTCCCACACGTGCAGGGCAACCACTTTAGTGATCATACAATCTTCCCAGCCCAGTCAGTTTTTTAAATTTTTGGATTTTTTTTTTTAGAATATTTGTATGTAGATGTTGAGATATCTTGAGTACTGGACAAAGTCACAAATAGAAAATTAATTTGTTTCATATGTATGTCTTATGAATAGACTCAGTGTCATTTGGTTCAGTAACTTTAGGGTGCCGGCTTGGTGACTGTGACCCACTCCAGGAAGTCAGATGTAGAATTTTCCCCTTGAAGCCTCACGTGGGCACTTAAAACCTTTCAGGCTTTGGACCGCAGGTTTTCAGAATAGAGATATACAACTTCTGGAATGCTTCTAGTTTGGAAGTAAGAAGGTGCCAACATAACACCAGGCTGTAGACTCCAGGCCAAGCACCATGTAAAACTAGGTGTGGTAGTGCTGTCTATAACCCCAAACTCAGGAAGTAGAGATGAGGTTATCATCGGTTCAAGGCTATCCTCAGCTGCATAGGGAGTTTGAGGACAGATCTGCTACTTGAGTCCTTGTCTCAAAAGAAAAAACCAAAACCACCCCCCTCCAAAGCCAAATCCCCTCTTTCCCTTTTGGCTAAGGCAAGGCATGCTCAGTAGAATGGGGGAATCCAGGCAGACAGAAGCCCAGAGCTTAGGTTAGTCTAGGGCTGTGTTTTCTTTAAGAGTCTACCTCCTCGCCCTCTCCTGTCTTTCCCTCTTCCTCCTCCTCCTCTTCTGCCAGGTAGTTCAGGCAGGTCTTGAATTCATAGCAATCCTCCTGTCTCAGCTTCCTGAGAGCTAGAATTAGAAGCATGTGACACTGTGCATGGTCTAGTTTCTTTTGTCCAAGCTAGGACTCTGTCTTTAGGTGGCCAAGCTGGTTGAGACTGGCCAAGTCTCCAAATTACAGGAAGCTCTGAGGACAGAGGGCTGTCCACCTTCTAGGCCAGCTAGC